TAAAATGATTTTCGATAGAGTTTTTTTCCGCTACATCAGAAAATACAAGGTGCTCGGAACAAACGATCTACAGGGTACTATTTGATTTTTTTAATGGAACACCCTATTTTTCATTGTATTTTTAGATTCTCCCTGAAGAGCTGATTTCATCAATGTATCACACTTGGGGTTTAGCGAAAATGATCACAGAGATATAGGGTGTTCAAAATCGAGATTTTTCAACTTTAGGATTTTTCTGTGACGAAACTATTCATTATAGGTCAAAACGGCTTTCTTGATCGTATCTTAACTTCTGATTTACTATCTACTGACATTTAATGATTGGAACAGATACAGGGCGATCAGAATTCTGAATCTTGAACCACACCGTATATGTTCCAATTAAATGTCAGGAGATAGTAAATCAAAAGTTGAGATAGGGACATTAAAGCCGTTTTGACCAATAATGAATAGTTTCGACACAAAAAAATACTAAAGTTGAAAAATCTCGATTTTGAACACCCTATATTTCTGTAATCATTCCCGCTAGACCCCAAGTGTGGATGCATTGATAAAATCAGCTCTTCAGGGAGAATCTAAAAATATAATGAAATACAGGGTGTTCCATTTGAAAAAATCAAGTAGTACTCTGTAGATCGTTTGTTCCGAGCACCCTGTATTTTCTGATGCAACGGGAAGAACATTTCTGAAAAATCATTATAGATGATTTTTCAAATTTTCAAATTGGTTAAAAAATAAGTGAGCTAGAGGGGGGGACATTTATGGTGAATCACCCTGTACAACACGATCAGTAGCCAAACATCTTGAGTAGGTAATATGTGAATAATATCTAAACTGAATGAATCATCCCTATGAATCATCCCTTATCACCTCACGCTGCCGGTAAAATTCACAAATTTTTCAGTCTATTAGCGAACGTTGTGTGGTGAGGGTGAGTAGGTATACGTGTTCGCGACATCTAGCGAACGAGAAGTTTATTGAAAAATGTGAATTGTGTTGAAAGTGAGTGTAGGTTAAGGACTTTTACCATGCCAAATGGAGTTAAATCATCGAATGAGTATATTGTGATGAAAATGAGTTGCAGAAGCTGAAAAACGGTTGAAGAATCCAAGCCAAGTAAGTACAACTTACAACATTGAAAACCAACCTAACTTCAGTAACATTTTTCTGCAATTGCATCAAAGAGGGAATACATTTTACTCCCATGTTATGTACTGCTGTTCAAATAAACTGCAACAAGCGAATGTTTACATTGAATTCACATTGAATATTGTCGTGATAAGTATTATTTCAACGTGATTTTGTTTGATCGGAATTTTGTTTCATGTCGCTCGAGTATACAGGGTGTAATTCAATTGATGACTAAAAATATAGGATATGGTTCCTTAGCTATTTTTGAGAAGAAACTTTCATATGAACATATTACCTAACCTCTTTACTTTCGAACTATAAGGTGTTAACATTTTATTTTCTCTTTATATTGATTAAATAAACTTTCACAATGTAAAAAACTGTCAGGTTTATGAATACTTGTCAAAATAAGACCGCAACGTAATCGATCGCATGTCATTATTTCGAATATAAAATAGGGCATTAGCCTACTATGCATGAAAAGTTTTTATTTTTCACGCGAAAACGGTTTGTCAGATGAAAAAAATTCAGGAAGTTGAATTGATGCAAAATGAATGAGGATTTCAGTAAAGAGTTTTATTCTCGGAAAAATCAAGGACGTACAACACTTTTTTTCAAAATCTCCAGGATACATCCCAAACGTACGCCACTGGTAGAAATATTCAAAAATCTCTTGCATCAAAAAATGCCTATTGATGCTCAGTAGGTGCATGTAAAATTTCTTGAGAATATCTAGAACAGTATTGAAGTTGTATTTAGACAAGGAATTTTTTCTTAAAATAAGCTAAGGAACAATATCCTTCATTTTCAGCCATCAATTAAATTACACCCTGTGTATGATAATTTTCATAGAATGAATTGAAAATCCTTTGAAAAACAATGTTTTATGGATTCCGTCCTGTACAACACAATCAGTAGCCAAATATCTTGAGTAATATGTGAATAATATCTAAACTGAATGAATCATCCCTATGAATCATCCCTTATCACCTCACAATGCCGGTAAAATTCACAAATATTTCAGTCTATTAGCGAACGTTGTGTGGTGAGGGTGAGTAGGTATACGTGTACGCGACATCTAGCGAACGAAAAGTTTATTAAAAAATGTGAATTGTGTTGAAAGTGAGTGTTCGTTAAGGACTTTAACCGTGCCAAATGGAGTTGAATCATCGACTGAGTATATTGTGATGAAAATGAGTTGCAGAAGCTGAAAAACGGTTGAAGAATCCAAGCCAAGTAAGTACAACGTACAACATTGAAAACCAAATCAACTTCAGCAATATTTTTCTGTAATTGCATCAAAGAGGGAATACATTTTACTCCCATGTTATATACTGCTATTTAAATAAACTGCAATAAGCGAATGTTTACATTGAATTCACATTGAATATTTTCGTGGTAATTATTATTCCAATGTGGTTTTATTTGATCGGAATTTTGTTTCATGTCGCTCGAGTATACAGGGTGTAATTTAATTGATGGCTGAAAATATAGGATATGGTCCCTCAGCTCATTTTTAGAAAGTTCATATGAACATATTACCTAACCTCTTTACTTTCGAACTATAGGGTGTTAACATTTAATTTTCTCTTTTTTGATCTTCACAATGTAAAAAACTTACACGTTTATGAATACTTGTCAAAATAAGAACGCAACGTAATCGATCAAATGTCATTATTCCAAAAAAGAAATAGGGCACTAGCCTATTAGTTCACAATAAGTTCATTATGCCACAAATGCATGAAAATTGCTTTTATTTTTCACGCAAAAACGGTTCGTCGGACGAAAAAAAATCAAGAGGTCAAATTGTTTGAAATAAAATAGGATTCCAAGAACGATTTTTATTCTTAGAAAACTCAAGGGCGTACAATATTTTTTTCAAAAAATCTCCAGGATACATCCCATGTTTTTTATTTCCAGCCATTAATTAAATTACACCCTGTATAACTCAACTGCCTTTCTGCAATTTTTTTCGTTATTCCGACAATAATTAGAAAATACAAATTTCGAGAAAAGTGAAGTTTCGTATCTATGATCAGGAGAAAACTTTTCATACTGCAGTATTATTCCCAGAAATTCATGCGGTAGTGGGCAGTTAAGAACTATACAAGGTGTTTCGTAACCTCTCTGATAAAATGAAAGGAGCGATACTTAATTTATTTCAAGACGAAAATTAAGTTTAATTTTTTGTCGCTTAGTTTTCAAGATACTAAGTATTGAAATTTTCTTATTGTTCAAACCGTCTGTATTCAGGAAACGAATCGCATTTGAAAAAAAACTTTCATACCATGATTTCGCCCTAAAATCAGACCATTGTTGCAAGCGATTTAAAAAGTAAATAATCGTATTTTTTATGGTTTTTGTGTGGCGATTTTCATTTTCCATCTCGGAAACGAAGCAACATACGGAAACACATTGAAAGATGAAAAAGTTGCTTGTTTTGAAAACAATATTGAAATTACAGGAAGTCAGTGACGTATATTTTTTTTTCTGTCAATAATATTGGTTCGAGGTGCCCTTCTGGCAATCGCGAAATTATTAGGCAACAAGCTGTCGTAACAATCGCCGAATATTTCCGGCAAAATAGTAGGTATCACTCGTGATATTACATATGACTTCTTGTCATTGTGCTGTCATGTTCCTGGCTAATAGATTATCATTAGAATTGAAAAGAAGTGCTTTCATAGTGACAATAGGTTCATATTTCCGTTTCACAGAACTAAAAGGATTGAAATGTATTGCTAATGGCGAAAAAACATTTAATATACACCTTGGTAGTAATAGTAGATTGATTTATCAGAATCAAAAGTGACACTTTGTTCGACAAGCGAATTTTGCATTTGCGAGGAGCGTCTAGCGAAGCCGACAATAATTAATATTTGTTTTGACTGACATAAGATAAATGTCAGGTAAATCTAATTCATTTAGACAGTTCAATATGTAAACAAGTTTTTCTACTCACATAACTAAAATGGCATTTATCATACGGATATGTACCACGCTAAATGATCGATTAATCACGGATTGTCGATCTGTGATTTATTCAAAATATTAAACACGCTACCATGGCAACACGATTTCTTAAACACATCACCATGGCAACGCAGTTCATTAAACACAGCTTCAGTTATTCGAGACATGTCTGGCCTGTCAATTGTATTAACTGTCAACTGTTATTTTCATATTTTGTATCAGAATTATCCAAACAATATTCGTTTGTATCGGAATTCTTCATTAAAAATATATGCGAAAAGTAGACGAGAGTGAAATCGAAGAGAATGTTCGCAGGTACTTACATACCTCCAAGAAGTGTAAAAATGAAGCATCCATCTTTGAGAACAATTTATTTATTCAGCGCTAAGCATGACAATAAACGTGAAACAAAGGTTAGTAAGCAATGGACTGGACAGATCTACAACCAATATCACTTATACGTGTCTCGCTGGTTGCATGCAGTTGTATGTATAATGTTTTCAATTCCCATTCCTTTCGAATTATTTTGTAGGTTAGCAGGAATAGCAGGTATGTTAATTAATGTAATTTTTGGAGTTCGTAGAAAAATCATAGTATGTAACGCGTTTATAAACTCTTCTAGATACTCGTTTATTAAACACTCGCTCCGCTCTGCTCCGCTCGTGCTTAAACTACTCGTTACTAAAAGGACGTTTATAACACTTGTTACATAATATACTATTTTATCGAGGAGGAGCAGTTATATCAGTATCATACTGAATGATCAGTTTTATCAGTATTATACTGAATAATTTTCCAGAATCACAAATTGATATTGGTTGAAATAACTGATATATCAGAGTTTTACACGTGAAAATAAAAATATTCGCTGTTTAACAACTCATAAATCAACTTACCTTCTGTTGCCAAGGCATCAGCAACAGTAACAGAGTCGATGAACTGTACGAATCCATGTTTGGTGCTAGTGGCGAGAACTCTGTAGGGCGTCAATTTCAGATCCAAATTCTCTTTGCTCAGCAACTTGTCCATCAGAGTGATCATTTGCAGGATGACCTGATCCTGCCTCAGATCGTCGCCATGTTTGAAAATGGCTACGTACTCCTCATTGTTCACCGTCTTGAAATACAACTTGGAGGGCATCAGGGCCGATTTGAAGAGGCTGGCTTTTTCAGGGATGATGCCGTTAATCAACACCTCGGGATCTAGAGGGAATGGAATGGTTTCGAATTTCGAGAAATTGAACTTGAACGCATCGGGGTCAGCTAGAAGTTGTTGCAGCTTCTCAGCTTTCTTTTTTCGGTTGCCGCTCTCTCTAGATACTGTTTTCATCAGTTTCACTAGTTTGTCGATGAATTTTTGTTGTTTGGTGAGAATGTGTCTTTTCTTTTGCATGGAATCGGAGCCTTTGGCTAAAGTCTGAGAAAACGTTTTCATCACCGTTAGATACATGGTCCGAACAGCTTCCTAGAAATTCAAGAAAAATTAGAAACATATTGAACCTATTGAAAAGGAATATTCTTAGATGTAATTATGAACATAAAAAAATGGATATTATATATAAAGGGATACATTGAGAATTCGCATTCTCAGAGAACAACTACTTTCCTATCTATTAGCCACGACGAACATTGAATTGAATCTATTGAACATACACGATAAGAATTCGAGAACAAAATATTCTGAACTAGAGAATTTACATTCCCTTTCATATGAAGATATGAACATAATATCATTCTGAATATTCAACAGAAAACAACTACTTTCCTGGCTGTTGGCCACGTCGAACATTGAATATATGTATATCAACTTTGATGTTCGTATACAAAGGACGGTTTCGCCCTCAAGAGTAAGGTATGAACAGTGGTTTTATACCGGCTTTTTTCCAAATTTATATACCTATGAGTTGAATATCAATACAAGTTGTTTTTTAAATGAAGAAGTGTTCTAGGAAAGAATGACACATACTTTTATGCATGTATGTATGTTATAATAAATAATATATGGATAAATTGAGAGATCATAATACTAATTGATTTTTTTTTCAGGATATCGCAGAAGCATCACAAACAATTACGGATTTACTAGAATCTTGGGCGAAAGTTTTGAGGAAAATTCTTCCGTTTATAGTACCACTCCAACTTGAAGTTATTCACCAGAGATTTGCCTTCTTGAATGGAGATAATATGAGAATCATCAAGATAAGTTTTCAATTCAATCAACTTCATTCTTCATAAAAAAAAACACTTTAAACTAGCTTGTTTCCTTTCTTCAATTATTCATCGAGTCGAAATATTAAGAGACTCGTTTTGTGTATGGAATCACGCCAGGTACCCTTACGAGGGGAGAGTATCAACTTTGGTGTTCGTAATGCCTCTCTACAAAGGAGGGTGTCGCCTTTAAGAGTTAGGTATGAACAGTGGTTTTATACCGGCTTTTTTCCAAATTTATATATCTATGAGTTGAATATCAATACAAGTTGTTTTTTTAATGAAGAAGTGTTCTAGGAAGGAAAGACACATGCTTTTATGCATGTATGTATGTTATGATAAATAATATATGGGGAAATTGAGGAATCATAATACTAATTGATTTTTTTTTCAGGATATCGCAGAAGCGTCACAAAAATTACGGATTTACTAGAATCTTGGGTAAAAGTTTTGAGAGAAGTTCTCCCGTTTATAGTAGCACTTCAACTTGAAGTTATTCACCAGAGATTTGCCTTCTTGGATGGAGATGATATAAGAATCTTCAAGATAAGTTTTCAATTTATTCAACTTCATTCTTCATATAAAAAACACTTCAGACTAGTTTGCTTCCTTTCTTAAATTATTCATCGAGTCGAAATATTAAGAGACTCGTTTTGTGTATGTTATCACGCCAGGTACCCTTACGAGGGGAGAGTATCAACTTTGGTGTTCGTAATGCCTCTCTACAAAGGAGGGTGTCGCCTTTAAGAGTTAGGTATGAACAGTGGTTTTATACCGGCTTTTTTCCAAATTTATATATCTATGAGTTGAATATCAATACAAGTTGTTTTTTTGATGAAGAAGTCTTCTAGGAAGGAAAGACACATGCTTTTATGCATGTATGTATGTTATAATAAATATTATATGGGGAAATTGAGGAATCATAATACTAATTGATTTTTTTTTTCAGGATATCGCAGAAGCGTCACAAAAATTACGGATTTACTAGAATCTTGGGTAAAAGTTTTGAGAGAAGTTCTCCCGTTTATAGTAGCACTTCAACTTGAAGTTATTCACCAGAGATTTGCCTTCTTGGATGGAGATGATATAAGAATCTTCAAGATAAGTTTTCAATTTATTCAACTTCATTCTTCATATAAAAAACACTTCAGACTAGTTTGCTTCCTTTCTTAAATTATTCATCGAGTCGAAATATTAAGAGACTCGTTTTGTGTATGTTATCACGCCAGGTACCCTTACGAGGGGAGAGTATCAACTTTGGTGTTCGTAATGCCTCTCTACAAAGGAGGGTGTCGCCTTTAAGAGTTAGGTATGAACAGTGGTTTTATACCGGCTTTTTTCCAAATTTATATATCTATGAGTTGAATATCAATACAAGTTGTTTTTTTAATGAAGAAGTGTTCTAGGAAGGAAAGACACATGCTTTTATGCATGTATGTATGTTATAATAAATAATATATGTGGGAATTGAGGAATCATAATACTAATTGATTTTTTTTTCAGGATATCGCAGAAGCGTCACAAAAATTACGGATTTACTAGAATCTTGGGTAAAAGTTTTGAGAGAAGTTCTCCCGTCTATAGTATGAGTCGAATATCGATACAAGTTGTTTTTTTTAATGAAGAAATGTTCTAGGAAGGAATGACATATGCTTTTATGAATGTATGTATGTTATAATATATAATATATGGGGAAATTGGAGAATCATAATACTAATTGATTTTTTTCAGGATATCGCAGTAGCATCACAAACAATTACGGATTTACTAGAATCTTGGGTGAAAGTTTTGAGAGAAATTCTCCCGTTTATTATAGCACTTCAACTTGAAGTTATTCACCAGAGATATGCCTTCTTGGATGGAGATAATATAAGAATCTTCAAGATAAGTTTTCAATTTATTCAACTTCATTCTTCATATAAAAAACACTTTAGACTAGCTTGTTTCCTTTCTTTAATTATTCATCGAGTCGAAATATTATGACTCGTTTTGTGTATGGAATCACGACAGGTACCCTTACGAGGGAAGAGTATCAACTTTGGTGTTCGTAATGCCTCTCTACAAAGGAGGGTGTCGCCTTTAAGAGTTAGGTATGAACAGTGGTTTTATACCGGCTTTTTTCCAAATTTATATATCTATGAGTTGAATATCAATACAAGTTGTTTTTTTAATGAAGAAGTGTTCTAGGAAGGAAAGACACATGCTTTTATGCATGTATGTATGTTATAATAAATAATATATGGGGAAATTGAGGAATCATAATACTAATTCTTTTTTTTTTTCAGGATATCGCAGAAGCGTCACAAAAATTACGGATTTACTAGAATCTTGGGTAAAAGTTTTGAGAGAAGTTCTCCCGTTTATAGTAGCACTTCAACTTGAAGTTATTCACCAGAGATTTGCCTTCTTGAATGGAGATGATATAAGAATCTTCAAGATAAGTTTTCAATTTATTCAACTTCATTCTTCATATAAAAAACACTTCAGACTAGCTTGCTTCCTTTCTTAAATTATTCATCGAGTCGAAATATTAAGAGACTCGTTTTGTGTATGTTATCACGCTAGGTACCCTTACGAGGGGAGAGTATCAACTTTGGTGTTCGTAATGCCTCTCTACAAAGGAGGGTGTCGCCTTTAAGAGTTAGGTATGAACAGTGGTTTTATACCGGCTTTTTTCCAAATTTATATATCTATGAGTTGAATATCAATACAAGTTGTTTTTTTAATGAAGAAGTCTTCTAGGAAGGAAAGACACATGCTTTTATGCATGTAAGTATGTTATAATAAATATTATATGGGGAAATTGAGGAATCATAATACTAATTGATTTTTTTTTTCAGGATATCGCAGAAGCGTCACAAAAATTACGGATTTACTAGAATCTTGGGTAAAAGTTTTGAGAGAAGTTCTCCCGTTTATAGTAGCACTTCAACTTGAAGTTATTCACCAGAGATTTGCCTTGTTGGATGGAGATGATATAAGAATCTTCAAGATGAGTTTTCAATTTATTCAACTTCATTCTTCATATAAAAAACACTTCAGACTAGTTTGCTTCCTTTCTTAAATTATTCATCGAGTCGAAATATTAAGAGACTCGTTTTGTGTATGTTATCACGCCAGGTACCCTTACGAGGGGAGAGTATCAACTTTGGTGTTCGTAATGCCTCTCTACAAAGGAGGGTGTCGCCTTTAAGAGTTAGGTATGAACAGTGGTTTTATACCGGCTTTTTTCCAAATTTATATATCTATGAGTTGAATATCAATACAAGTTGTTTTTTTAATGAAGAAGTGTTCTAGGAAGGAAAGACACATGCTTTTATGCATGTATGTATGTTATAATAAATAATATATGGGGAAATTGAGGAATCATAATACTAATTGATTTTTTTTTTCAGGATATCGCAGAAGCGTCACAAAAATTACGGATTTACTAGAATCTTGGGTAAAAGTTTTGAGAGAAGTTCTCCCGTTTATAGTATGAGTCGAATATCGATACAAGTTGTTTTTTTAATGAAGAAATGTTCTAGGAAGGAATGACATATGCTTTTATGAATGTATGTATGTTATAATATATAATATATGGGGAAATTGGAGAATCATAATACTAATTGATTTTTTTCAGGATATCGCAGTAGCATCACAAACAATTACGGATTTACTAGAATCTTGGGTAAAAGTTTTGAGAGAAGTTCTCCCGTTTATAGTAGCACTTCAACTTGAAGTTATTCACCAGAGGTTTGCCTTCTTGTATGGAGATGATATAAGAATCTTCAAGATAAGTTTTCAATTTATTCAACTTCATTCTTCATATAAAAAACACTTCAGACTAGCTTGCTTCCTTTCTTAAATTATTCATCGAGTCGAAATATTAAGAGACTCGTTTTGTGTATGTTATCACGCCAGGTACCCTTACGAGGGGAGAGTATCAACTTTGGTGTTCGTAATGCCTCTCTACAAAGGAGGGTGTCGCCTTTAAGAGTTAGGTATGATTAGTGGTTTTATACCGGCTTTTTTCCAAATTTATATATCTATGAGTTGAATATCAATACAAGTTGTTTTTTTAATGAAGAAGTGTTCTAGGAAGGAAAGACACATGCTTTTATGCATGTATGTATGTTATAATAAATAATATATGGGGAAATTGAGGAATCATAATACTAATTCATTTTTTTTTCAGGATATCGCAGAAGCGTCACAAAAATTACGGATTTACTAGAATCTTGGGTAAAAGTTTTGAGAGAAGTTCTCCCGTTTATA